GAGGCTGCATGGAAGGCACAGGGTAGCAGGCATTTTCACACAGTGAGGCTGGAAGAGATGCTACTACAGTGTAAATTACTAATTAGCTCAATAGAAGACAAAGAGAGAAAATACCTGTCACAGAATGCTGTTTACAACATGACATATAATAAAAACGATCCTGAACATTTCAGAAAAGCGCCTTACTTTTCAGACTTCTATTAGCATGTAAATAGCAAAGGAATAGTATTACAGTCTTTAAAAAACTGCCCATACCTCACTGACAATAAGGCATGACTGGGAAGAATGCTTCCCAAATAATTTGTAATTTTCTCGTCCTTATGAAAGCAAAGTGTTTTTAATTATTACAATCAGGTTTAATAATAAGCTATATTTCATCAGTTTCATGATCACTTAAAATGGGGGAAAGGAAAAGCTTACAAGTGCTGTACTTTACATTTGTAAGAATACAGATAATAGTGCTTTCACTGAAATCAGACAGGCCTCATTCTGCAGGTCATGCCTTTATCAAAAAGACAGGCTACCATTTTCATGATAAAAACTGAGGATGAGAGGACTTCCGCCAAGATGGAGGCGTAGTTGGAAGCATTGTGCCTTCTTGCACAACCAAGTTTAAAAACAACAAAATTTTAGCAACAAAAACACAGCCAAACCACAGAAAATTGAACTACACAGAAGTCTGACAACAATGAACCCTTCAGCCAAACCGATAAACCAGTGAAGGAGCTAGCAGAGAGATGGACTGCACAGGCCGCAGTGGCAGGAAGCAGCAGAGGGGACCGCCATTGTCCCTCTCTGACCCCGCCCCCACATACAGCATCACAAACCAGTGACCTGGGTGACCCCGCCCTGGTAAACAACTAAGGCTCTGCTCCTCATACGTAACAGGCACAAACAGATCAAAACATTGCTCAAGAACAACTCAGAGCCCCAGAGCCGATAAATCTAAGCCATGAAGAAATAGCCAAACTTTCAGATGTAGAGTTCAAAACACTGGTGATCAGGATGCTCACAGAACTGGTTGATTTTAGTCACAAATTAGAGGAACATATGAAGGCTAAACTAATTGAAATGAAGGGTAATGCACAGGATACCAATAGTAATGGAAAGGAAACTGGGACTCAAATCAAATCTGGTCCACTCGACCAGAAGGAAGAAAAGGAAAAATGACCAAACAGAAAAGGATGAAGAAACAAGAATTCAAAAAAATGAGGAGAGGCTTAGGAACCTCCAGGACATCTTTAAACGCTCCAACATCCAAATTATAGGGGTACCAGAAGGGGGAAAGGAACAGCCACCAGTGGAAAACTTATTGAACAAATAATAAAGGAGAATTTCCCCAATCTGGCAAAGGCAATAGACTTCCAGGAAATCCAGAAAGCTCAGAGTGTCCCAAAGAAGTTGGACCCAAGAAGAAACACACCAAGGCACATCATAATTACATTAGCCAAGATGAAAATGAAGGAGAGAATCCTAGAAACAGCAAGAGATAAAGGGACAGTCACCTACAAAGGAGTTCCCATCAGACTGTCAGCTGATTTCTCAAAAGAGACCTCACAGGCAAGAAGGGGCTGGAAAGAGGTATTCCAAGTCATGAAATCCAAAGACCTCCATCCAAGATTGATCTATCCAGCAAAGCTTTCATTTAGAATGGAAGGGCAGATAAAGTGCTTCTCAGATAAGATCAAATTCAAGGAGTTCATCATCACCAAGCCCTTATTATATGAAATGTTAAAGGGACTTACCTAAGAAAAAGAAGTTAAAAAAACATGAACAGTGAAAGGACAACAAACTCACAGTTATTAACAACCACACCTAAAACAAAAGCAAACTAAGAGGACAGCTAGATCATGAGCAGAACCATAGAAATGAAGATCACATGGAGGGTTAGCAACAGGGGAGTGGGAGGAGAAGGGGGGGGAAGTTACAGAAAATAAGTAGCATAGACGGTAGGTAGAAAATAGATGGGGGGGCAAGAATAGTAGGGGAAATATAGAATCTAAAGAACTTGAGACACATGGTCATAAACTAAAGGGGGGAACGGTGGGAGAGGGGTGTGCAGGGTGGAGGGGAATGAAGGGGGGAATAGAACAACTGTAATGGCATAATCAATAAAATATTTTTTTTTAAAAACTGAGGATGAGCTGGAAGGTGGCAGTGGGGATAGGGGTCAGTTAAATCTCCTTATATAACAACAACTAAAAGACACCCAAAATTTAGGTTATTTGGGGAAAGGTAATAGAATGTTACAATATTTATATTCATTCCCTTACCATAAAGCAAAACTATTTGTATGAATTGCAACCAAAGTTTTTATACATTCTGCACTTAGCTCTTTTCTACCCCTGGGTGATGTGGCTCTGTGGATTGAGTGCTGCCTGTGAACCAAAAGGTCGAAGGTTTAATTCCCAGCGCTTGGGTTGCAGGCCAGGCCCTCAGGTGGGGTTTGTGAGAATCTGATGTTTCTCTCCCTCTCCTTATCTCTCTCCTTTCCTCTCTCTAAAGTGAATAAATAAAATCTTTTTAAAAAGATCTTTTCTAGCTCCTTGAAGCTACAAAGATATCTTCAAAATATACCTTAGTCATGGTGTTGAGCAGCCCTGTAGCTCCTGTTGGCACCCACACATCAATACCTAGCATATCCTAACGACCCACCCATGTGTGAGCACACCACGCCAAGTGGCAGGGAGGTCCCCAACAGAGGGATCCACCATGACAGTTTTTGCTGATGTGGGAGGGTACTACAATCTCATCATTCACAGGTAAAATAATGTTTTTCAGAAGAGAGTGAAGAAAACAAACCTTAACACCACAAAAGCCTTTGCTTCACATGTTTAACTAAAATCAAATACAACTTGCTGACACACTCAAGACATTCTTGCCTTCTCTTTTAAAACTTGAGGCCTCTGTATCCTTTTTTTCAAATTTACTTGTTTAACAATAAGTGAGGGTTGGGCAGAGGAGGGCAAAGGGGGAAAACTGTGACAACTTTAATAGAATAACAATTTTAAAATGACTAATAAAAAACCACGAGTGAGATAAAATGGTAATGCAAATAGGGCAAAATGAAAACAACTGGTGAATTTAAATAAGGGTATATAGAAGTTCCTTGTACCATTTTTGCAACTTTTCTATAAGTTTGAAACATTATAAAAAAACCAAGTCATGTCCTAATATGGAGTATTAACAACAGATGTTCTCTCATTGGGTTGTTTAGTTTTAATCAATTGACATACTTGGCTCATGCTGGACACTTAGTAAACACTAATTAGTAAGAAACAATTGTATCAAATGAACCACTCTGGTGGGGGATGTTGATACCGGGGGAGGCTATACATGTGTGGGGGCAGAGGGTAAATGGGAAATCTCTATACCATACCCTTGATTTTGCTGTAAACCTAAAACTGCTCTAAAAATATAAAGTCTGGCCCTGACTGGTGTGGTTCAGTGCATTGGGCATCGCCCCACAATCTGAAAGGTAGCTGGTTCCCTGGTCAGTGCACATGCCCGAGTTGTGGGCTTGGTGCCTGGTTGGGGGCATGAGAGAGGTAACGACTGGTTTCTCTCCCTCTCCTTTTCCCTCCCTTCCCCTAGCTCTAAAAAATAAATAAATAAAGTCTTTAAAAAAAGTCTTAATTTTTAAAAAATGAGTGTATCAATGTACTTAACCAAATTAAAGCATGCATAAATGTACTCAGTATATTATTTACAGAGGCAAACAAAGAGAAGATAGTAAATACTCAGCAAGATCCTGAAAAGAGATTGCTTATGGATGTCCACACTGAGAGTTCCATTTTTCCTCAATGGCAACAATCTTTCAACTACAAACCTGTAGGGTATATGAGAAGTCCAGAGTCTTTTTCTGGCTAAAAAGGTAGACAGGTAACCATTAATCTGCAATGCCATTATACATTTTTTAATTGTTTTGGGGTCATTTCATTTTCGAAATATAATTTTGTAATAAAAAAATAGGAGCATGTAAGAACCTTGACGTAATTTTTGCATTAGACATGACCTGTGTCTGTCCCAGCTTCCCTATCCAGGAAGGACCTGAGAAACAGTTAATAACAAAGCCACAGTGAAAATTTAAGTACTGACAAACAAGAACAATTAAAGGATTAAGATAAACCAGCGTGGTTTACACTAGAGAAGAGCACAGTAAAGGATGACTTCACAAGTCAAGCAGATATAATACCAGACCGAGCACAATGAATCTGAGTAGAGGCTTTGCCAGCAAAACGCCAAGGTTCAATCCTACCCCCCATTTCCCTTATTTAAAAAAAAAAACAAAACACCCTGGCTGGTGTAGCTCAGTGGATAGAGCACAGGCTGCACACCAGAGGGTCACCAGTTCAATTTCCAGTCAGGGCACAAGCCTGGGTTGCAGGCCAGGTCCCCAGTGGGGGCCACATGAGAGGCAACTACACATTGAGGTTTTTCTCCTTCTCTTTCTCCCTCCCTTCCTCTCTCTAAAAATAAATAAATATTTTAAAATTAAGAAAAACTATAAATAAATAATCATTTAGTTACTACTTGACCAAAACCCCAAGTATTATTTATAACAAAAGATTATCAGCTCTCTTTTGGTACAAATAAAATGTCTGGGTATAACCTTGGGCAAATCACTTAATCTCAAGGAGCTCTATTTCTTCACATGTAAAATGGGAAGGGGAAGAGCACCGAGCTCAGGACTGATGTAAGGAGTAAATGCGTTAAAATCTGCAAACAGTTTACAACTGTGTCTCACACATGGTAGCTACTCCTATTAAGTTTATGAAGAACTGACATCTTCTTAATATTAAATAGTAAGCCAATAATTTTCCTCAAAAATTGAGAATGAAGTAAGAGAATAAATACAAATATAGCATTAAGTGAGTGCTGGTTAGACAGAAGGCAGGCTCTTCTTATACAGAAAATAATTAAATGCTGGAAAAGATTATCTACAAAGGCTCCTATATTACCTCTGAAGATTTATAAAAATAGGATAAATTTTTATCTACCTGGGATAATTTAAGTGGGATATTGTCTGAAGTTGCAGGGTAAACTACAGGTCCTTTCAAGGTTTCGTCCCATCCAAAGAATCTACGATTAACCAGAAAAACATTTGATTATGTACAATCTACTTATTCAAATCTGAAAACATAAACTTAAAACTTTTTGCTTAGCAAATACTATGATAAAATATAGTGAAATGGAATAGAATCTTACTTGATGAACAAAAGAAAATAAAGCTTAAATTTATCACTGGAGTCCTTACTGATAAATAGTATTAGTTGAACAAAAAGATTATCCATTTTCCATTTTAGGGATATCAACTAAGTCATTACGATTCACCGTCAATTGGTGATTTAGCACACTATGCAGCATATGGAAAAAATGACAGGACCAAAACAGACTCTTTCCCTTGGTTAATCTTATAGCTTGTATTTTCTTCTTTATCAATATCAATAAGTCTAAAATACCTTATATAAGAACACCAACTATAAAAGGATTACATTATTAAAATGTCAATACCATACACAAAATACCACCTAGTAGTAATTCCAGCCCAAACACACCTGTAAAGAAAAAATATGCACATGTCTCACAGAAACACACAACTCATGCCGAAGTTACTCTTCAACTTGAAAGTTAATATTTCAAACTAACCCTCTTAACTTAGCAGCAAAAGTAGTCATTTCTAAAAAATCCTCTGTTAAACTGCTAAATCAATCTAATCACCTTGAGCACCTGCTTAAAGACTCTAGAATCCATGAATACAGTTCACAGCTGCATCTGAAATTAAGATTCCAAATTATTTATATGTATTAATAACCAGCATTTCTGATAGGCACAAATCAAAATTCAATCTTTGCTGTTACAAATGCCCTCGATCTAATTTTTGCTTTTATATAAATATACACAAAACAGTGGCAATCCAAATTTACACCACCTTGAAAAAAAGTATCTTTTTGTATCTGAATGTCCACTAATGAAATAACCTCAAATAAGATTATCAAGAACAGTGTGCATTTTTTCCCTAAGTAAATTATATCGTATCCTTTGGCACCATCAAATGCAAAGTAAAATTGTTCATATTCTTAGCTAAATGTAAAAGTTTCAGAATAAAAAATCATCGAAACACATATGCAGGAAGAATAACCTAAATTTTGTCCTAAATTCCTTATTTTCCTTTTAATTTCCAAAAGTGTCTTAAAAAGCAAAAGCTTCTAGAAAATTAATATTAATATGGCCTTCCTTACTCACACCTACGAAACAGGAGAGGAAGTGGAGCTGTCCATGCTCCACCTTGCACTGCCTTATAGAGAGGCTTTTCCCATGATCAAAATTATTCATTAATTCATTATTTACCCTGAATGATAAATCCCACTCCAAAATCCTCCACTATTCTACAAATCTCCCTTTCTTTATTCCATTTTGCTAAGTGGGTGAGTTACCTACTCCAGTATGAAATGTCCCACACAAAGCTAAAGGCAGCTTGGGAACTCAAAGCCCTCACTGCCTTGATTTAAATCTAAATCTCTTCCCCAGCAAACTTCCCTGGTTGGTTATTTGCCTTTCTCTGAAATGATTTCTCAGAATTCTTCAGCCACCAAACACAACTAGGCAGAAATCTGGCTGATTATCAAAACAAAAAGATCTTCAGATTTATCTCAGAAATAGCAGGCTCATCGCTGAAACCCAAAATGCTGTGGATAAAGCATTCTGCCTGCCCAGCACTTGTCAGGTACAACATTGTGACAACACAGCACTATCACACTATACAGGCACAGTCACACTGTAAAAAATACACCCCATTTTCTTAGGATCACAACCCTAGTGAAACGAGCAGGTTTTCACACTGTGTTGATGCTTTATCATTCAGACAAGAACAAAATCAAATCAAAATGGGTCTCATCTTTTCAAAGTGGACATATCAGTCAAATTAGAAGCAATGGAAGGTAGAAGCAGATTCAAGATTCCTTGAGGAAAGAGGTTTCTGGAATTTCCTACTTTTATGGACAAAAGGACTCACAATTTCAACACAGTTCTCTCCTCAACAAAGAATTCCTTTCCTGCACCCTCCCACCTTACATCTCAGTTTTTACCCCTATCTCTAGGTCTCTTTTCACTCACCATGGTTCCTCTTCTGCACCAAAGGCTCCCTACACTTGATTCTTCACTACAGCATCTGTGCCCTTACCCATGCAGACAGACCTTCTTTCTGGAGGATCTCCCCATAATATGCACATCTGATTCCCACTCCTGTATAGTCTGCCCCACTTCTGCATCCATCAGGACTCCCCAGACTTCCCTTACTCCCCATCTCATCCTTTAAAGCCTGGGGCCCATCTCTACCTCGCTCCTTCAACCTCTGCTATTAGCCCTGTATCTTCACCTCCCTGTTTTTACCTTGGATCTTGTTGAACCTCGTCAATTAACACAATTCCCCAGTTACCCGGTCCCACACCGCCAGCACTTCTCACTCTCTTTTCCCTCCAGCTTTTCTGGTTCTCAAATTGTCCTATAAACGTCCTATCTCATCTCTGTCCTTTCACCCCTTCCTTCCACTACACTCTTATTCTTAACTCCACCTGGTACTAGTCCGGTGTCTCATTCACCCTCTCTCACTTTCAAAAATTTACAGCCATAGTCCACCAACCCATACCTTTCTCAGAACCTCGCAGTTCCCACCCCACCGCTAGTCCTAGTCCTTCAGCTCATCTCGCTCTACACTAGTTCACACCCTTGTCACGTCTAGCTCTTAATCGCTCTCTCTCCTCTGCTCCTAACTATTACCCCCGCTCTGCCCCTCCTTGCTGCCCACTTTCCAACTCTTACCCCAGTACCCCTCACCCCTCCACCATCCCCTGCGAAGCTTTCCCCTTCAAATCCTTGCTCTTACACCTAACCCCGGGATCCCTCTTTCAAGCTTCGGTCTTCCTAACCTCATTCCCTGCTCGGCTTCCTTAACACCCAACCCTGGTTTTTACCTCCTTCCTACCTCCTTGGCTGGCTTCTCTTGCCTTCTAACCTTTTCTCCCCTTAATCCTCATTTCGTTCTTAGCCCGTTCCCCGCAACCGCCCCCAAGCTTTCCTTCTCCTCTTCTCCTCCAAGCTTTTACTCCAAATCCTGCCGTCGCCCACCCCGCCAAAATCTAGCGCTGGCGCGCCAGGACTGCCGGCTCTCGCCTCCCGCCGGCCCCCGGCCTCGGGCGCCCCCAGCCCGCCTGCGCCGCGGTCCCGCCCCCTGCCGCCGCTCCTCCCGCCCGTGAGGCGCGCGCTGCCTTTGTCGCCCCTCACCCGGTGTGTAAGGATTTTGCTTCTTTAAGGGGGAGGGCCAGGGTGCTAGAGATTCCTGTCCCCGCCTCCAAGGCTTAGAATGGGCTCCCTTGCCGCCGAGTCTTCCCTGGCCCCCGTCCCTGTCCCCCCCACCCCCTGGAGCTACCCCCTTCGCTATTTCCCCCCCCTCCGCCCCCTCCACTGACCCCCCCCTCTATTTACCGCCATCATCAGCACGCGCGAGCTGTCACTAGGGCGCGAGACAACCGAACACGGCCACGCCCCCTGATCGCCCGTTGGCTTGCCTGCCTGAGCCCCGCCTCCTAAGCCCCGCCCCTAGGCCCCGCATTGCGCCAACGGCGCAGCGCTGGGCCCCGACCCCGGTAACGTTATCCGCTGCCAGGGTTCGCGCCAGGGGCGCAAAGTTTAGGGTCAGCCACAAACGCGAGGCTAACTAGAGCCTGGCGTACGGGGCGACGGCGTAGAGGGGCGTTGTGAATCGCGGGGTCGAAGTTTGGTTGAAGCACAGGAGAGTAAATAAGGAGGTTTCCAGACAAAGAGATTCTTAAGGTACCGAATCTTCTGTCTGTCCCTCCTTCTTAAAGGGCCAGAGACTCTCCCGAGCCCATCTCCGCTCCCTTCTCCGCAGCCCCTTTAGCCTTGGAACAGAAAAGGAATTTTACATTCGTTCCCCGCACTCTTTTGGAGCCGAACATCTCTAAACAAGGCCAAGGGGTAAATAAAGCCTTTCTCACAATCGCATCTGCGTTTTCGTTTTGTTCTGTTAAAAGACTTAGTTTTAACTGTGTCATTGGCTCGAAAGCAAGCAGCCTGCAAGCGGTGGGGTTTCCTGAGGCTGCGTTTGCAAAAGTTACTTACTATTGGCTCCCAAAGGGGTGAGCACGTGTCTGACTTTTGCCACTGATGACCCAGGCGGGATTCAGCTGTTTTATAGGAATTCGCCCCCAAGGAAGAGGCTTGACTTTAAACTGAAGACATTTGGCAGATGCTGGGGATGGAGAGAAATCACCGGGAAAGAGAAAGGCGGCTATTTCTGCAAGTCTTCACTGCCTCGGGAAAGGTTTCCTTTCTGGGAAGCCTCTTGAGTAGTACATTGTCCTGACATAACTTGCCGGGCAGGGGGTAAGGGTGGGGGTTTACATTACCCAAAATAAGACCAACACTATTACATCACCCAACACATGGCTAAAGCAGGTAAAGGCTTATATTTAAATGTAAGGACAAGTTAAACATATGCGTTATCAGCTACACTGGCTCAAGGCTACACACTTGTAAATATGAAATAGAGAAGCACAAAAGCCAAAGAACAATAAAACACGGGGGGAACAGCATGTGCGTGTATAACTACAATGCCTGGAGCCAAGCGCAATTAAGCATGAAAACATTTCCAAAGATAATTAACAAGAGATTTGATGGCAGAAGAGGACCTGGTGATTGATTTGGTGAGGATTTGTCATGTGATTCAAGAGTTAAGAGTTTGAGCTAAAATTCAGCATTCCCTTTGTTGTCTATCACCATTAACATTATTCTCTTTATCTTACTTTATAACTCCTTAATTATCTACTTTATCCCCTGGGTCCCCAAACCACCCAAGAAATTTCTTGCAGAATAAAGGTTGCACAATAAATATCTTATTCTATGTTAATTCCCCGACAAAGAGTCCAACACATACTAGGTGCTTTTGTTGAGTGAAGGATTTTGGAGACACTTAAGACTTTTGAAGGAAGGGGTGATCTCTGATTAGCAATTTAGGGGAGAAAGAGTCTCAGCACTGTGAGCATGTAGTAAGTCAGTGGTTCTCTAAGGGTTGCCTGTGGAGGAGCACCTGGGTTCCCTGAGACCCTTTCAAGGGCACCCAAGATCAAAACTACTTTCACAGTAAGATTTTATTTGCCCTTGTCACTGTGATGACATTTGTACTGATGACGCAAACGTAATGACAGGTAAAACCGTTACTGCTTCAGCACAAATCAAAGCAATGGCACTAAATTGTACTAGCAGTCATTTATTCTTCACAGCCACCCATTCCTGAGAAAAAATACCTCTTCTACTTAAGGAAGCCCTTGAGGAAGCACTAAAAATTATTTGTTTTATTTAAGTACACTTTGTCAGTAATACTATTCTTTGGATATATGCATAAAGCACTTCTGTTCCTTACTTAAGTACAATGTTTTCCTTGAGGAAGAGCACTTGTGGAATTTCTCTGCATTTTGAGCTGAATTAGAAATTTTTCTTGGTGGAAAAATTTCACCACTTTTACTTGAAAGAACAGCTAACGGATTAAAAGTGATTCACGTCTCTGAATCACTTGTCAGAGACAGATATTTTCTCAAAAATAAACAAAATGAGCCTTACAGCCTTTGTTAGCAATGATCAAACTTAAGCTCTCAAGCAAAACTTCTTTTTTGAAAACTTGTATCTACCTTTGTGAGCTTAACAGCTTCCCAAGACTTTTCTGATCTGATTGGTGGTGATATTAACAAATATAATTTTCTGATACTGTATGATAAAATGTACGTTGACATTTAAAAGATCTGTAGTATTTTCCAAATGACCAAATACATAATGCTACAGAAAAATCACACCTCAGTAAAAGATCCCTTGAGTGCAAAATAAACCAATAAATGTTAATATAACAATACAAAAAGTTCAGAGTTTGAGATTCCACATTACAACTAACCTCTAGTGGCACTGTGATGTAGTATCAAAGGCTATCCACAATTATCTGAAAAGATGAACATACTCCTCCCCTTTTCCAACTACACATCTATGTGAGGTTGGACTTTCTACATATTCTTCAACCAAAACAACAGACTGAATGTGGAAATACATGAGAATTCACTCTCCTCTATTATGCCAGACATTTAAGAGATTTACAAAAAATATAAAACAAGGGTACTCTTCTCACTAAATTTTTTAAAAGTTACTTTTCACTAAATATTTTATTTACATTAACATGTGATAGGTTTATGGTTACCTTTAAGTGAATTAAATACTTTCATCTTTTCACTATAAATTTTTATGAAGGTAAATGTTAGCAGATGTAACCTACATAAACAAAAGCTCTTTGGGGTACTCGGTAATTTTTAAGAGCACCAAGGAGTCCTGAGACCAAAACGTTTGAGAATTGTGTATTAGGTGAAAGCAGAAAGAATAACGAAGGCTGTTTTTGATAATTCAAATATGAAACAACTATGCAGGGTAGCTAACAAAAGGTTTTATTGTAGCTTCAGAGTTAAGAACTTACACGGTTCATCAATGAGGAATGGAAAACAGAATCAGAACACTGAACTTTCTTTAAAGACACAACTGGTTACAAATGCAATCACAATACACATGGCATTAAAAAAAATACAAAAACAGTTCAGAGACCATAACAAAGGCCTGGGAGTTCAGGGAAACAGGAATGTATGTGCTCCACATAAAAGACATAGTCATTTGTACCCAACTTTTTTTTTAAAGCCCAGATCCTTTAGTTTATCGGAGAACAAGTACAATTTCAGTACTATGAATAAGAGATGTTCCATACAACTGTGTTCACTAATCTGGTTACAAAAAGCAACAACTATGTTCTCTGGACCCTCTCTACACTGCTTGTTTTCTATTAAAACAACACTCTTTGCACCAGAGAATTTTAACCTGCTACTAAAACAGTAATGACCCCATCACCTCCCATCTTAAACATCCTAAGCAAACACTAATACCTTTAGCACCACTTAAAAGATGCAAGAGCAGTCCTGGCTGGTGTGGCTCAGTGGACAGAGTGCTGGCCTGCAAACATAGGAAAGGTCCCTGGTTCGATTCCCAGTCAGGGCACATGCCCGGGTTGTAGGCGAAGTCCCCAGCTGGAGGCACGCAAGAGGCAAGTGATTGATGTATCTCTCACACATGGATGTGTCTCTCCCTCTCTTTCTCCTCTTTCCTCCCTCTCTAAAAATAAATAAGTAAAATCTTTAAAAAAAAAATGCAAGAGCAGAACACAGACAGCATCTCCTTATCCACAAAGCACCCTCCACACAGGAGCCAATGAAATAAGCATCATTATTCCCACTTTACCGAGGAGACCCAGAAAGGCCAACTTGATTGATGTTGTGAGGCAAGTCAGAGACAGCACTGTGGCTAGCACCCGCTGTCTGTCTCCTAACACATGTTCTCTTCCCCTTTAGGCTGCCTCAGAACTGTCACAGCAGAAGATTTTTAACCTTAAAACAGGTCTATGCCATCTGATGGGGCAGGACTGTGTTGGGAAACAGAACAGAGAATAAAAGAGAATTAGGAATCTTTGCCCTAATAGTTCCGAGAATTTCTTTAACCTGCTAATTTCATCATGGAGAGTAGGGAACTATTTCTCTACCTTAGCAGTCACCTCCTTATGAGAAAATATACTCATTATGCCAAATTCTACCACATCAGAATAATTTTCAGATCCCATGGAGTGTACCATAATGGAAGAGTAACTCTGGGGCCAACCAGAAAGCCATAAAGATTGCTTCATATATCTTTACTTCCACTCATTTCTAAAAGGTTCTAAATGTATGTGTATAAAGAAATAAGAGAAGGGGGAAACTATAAGAAAGACTAGAGCAATAAAAAGGCCCAGCTTCCAAGAAACTGAATGAAAGGCCCGAAGGACTACAAAGTGAAGGAGGAAATTCCCTGGAGAGAACCCCAGATGAGGTGTCTGAAAAGCAAGGCAAGGTCTTGCTCATGATAAGCCAGCTGGGCAAATTTCAGCCCTGCTTTTTGTCTTCCTGCTGTCTCCCTTCAGAGGCTGTGTTTGAATCACAAATCTTTGTGACAATTCCAATGAACTCTATAAATCCTATTCTCCCCAAACTGAGCATATTCATAAAACCATGTCTAGTTGCAGGGCATTTTAAGCCTCTTGAGTCTCCCCTTGGGGGCTGATGACCTGTAGTAACGTTAGAACCCCTACATTAGAGCCATGGTTCCTGCACACTCCAGCACCAGCTAACAACAAACTCCCTTATTAAGCACAAGACTCTCTCCACAGTCTTGTCTGGGAGGGAAAGGGCAGGTTATGTTTTGTTTTTTTTGTCTCAAGAGTTAGTAAGAAAAGGGATGAAATACACAGGGAAGGGATTGCGTGGATGAGGCCAAGTTAAAGCTACAAGATCTCCGGGAGGGATCAAAGATATGAGCACTGAGAGTCAAACTAGCTGACCTCAAGCTCCCTTCTAACTCAAGAGACTGAATTTGGAATGTTCTACACAATGACAGAAACTCACCTTGGGGAAAGTCCACCCCCCTAAGAAGTGACTGCTCAAAGGTCAACGACACCACCCCCTAGGAGAGGACTCAACTTGTAATGCAATCAATTTCAGCCATTCCACATGGCAACTGTAACCAGTGTCTGCAGCCCACGATGCCCAGATAGCAGCAGATATGCAGAGGAAAGCTGCGGCAAGGGAAAAGCAATACCGGGAGTCAGAGGTGTGAGCCTGGAGACAGAAAGACGCACAGTCCATCATGGCTCTAGACCTGTGAATGTCCTCAACACATTCAGCCTATAGCCCTTCCTATGTTGTACTTGAAGAGTCTCAACTTTCAAATCTGAAGGCGTGTTTAAGTGGGAATTTCTAACCACTTCTCTTACCTGCTGGGATTTGAAGGTAAAAATTTCACTACCTCATCCTAAAGCCTAAGGAGTGAATACTGGACATGCCGGGCTGGGCTGGGCCTGCCAGTGGTGGGAATGTGCGGGTTCTAGGTGGAGCAGTGACATCATTAGATGGTCAAGGAAGTGTAACTGCTTGGTCCTCAGGAACTGAGGAAAGCAAGCGGGGGCAGCACAGAACAGGTGCACAGGAAACCAGAACAGCACAGGAGAGGTGGAGCGGGACCCACCAGAAGTGGACTAGACACGAAGCAGAGTACAGTGTCTTCCCAAATCCCAGTATTTGCCTTCTGCCTCCACAGACTGTGCCATTTCCAGGTATTACCTGTACTACAACTTCATAGGTCTCTTTAAATGGACTCTTTCAAAAACCCTCATCCTAAGGAATAAAGAACTGGTTATATTTTTCTTTAATATACATTAGAATAAGAAGCGCTAATGTACCAATGTTTTTCACACCCCATTCAAAACCACCTGGCACCACACGGAGGCCCAGGTGCCAGACCTGCACACATGCTGGCAGCCAGGGGCCCTGGCTGTGAAGTCTGCTCCTGATTCCAGCCTGGTCTCCAGGCACAACCTCGCCGAGAGCCACTGCTGCCCTGTCTTACAGCGAGGGGGAGCTGGATGGGCCCGCAGCCTCCCCATCTCGCTCTGATAGTCAAGGTGGGCAGATTTCTATGTGGCTCTGGCTAAGGTACCCACACCAAGGTGACTTGTTATCAGGGTCCCAGAAGTTTCCCAGTTTCTGCTCTTTCGTGGTTAGCTACAGATAGGGAAAGAAGTAACACATTTGGAAGCAAAGGAAGTTGGGTAGAAGACAGTCTAGTGTAGAAGAACATGAGATTTGAATCTGAAACATACAGCATCTCCATCTAGCAACCCAGTTTTTTTTTTTTTTTCCATTTTTAAAACTAGGATAATCAGGCCATTTTTCCTTAAATTTACACATTTGCTCCTCGACTTTCATTCAGTCTGAACTTACAAAAATGTATACTCTGACAATCCTAGAATACTCTTGAAAGCCTTCTTCAGACTTGCACACAAAAGCCGGGTGGCATTTGGGCCCTTCGTACTAGTTTCCAGTTCTGTTCTGGCAATTTTGCGAGTGGAGGCATATTTGTTAAAATGTATTGCATTACCTGACTTCTTTAGTGATAGACTTTCTTTAATTGACACAAAGGACAGACATGGACAAAAGTACTCGAAGCAGCAGTTCTTAAATCTTGATCGGGTGTTCACTGGACTTAGAGCTGGTCAAACGTATGCTCAAATAACAGAGAAGACCAAGTACAGTTAGGGAGTCTATATTATTTGTTAGGTTTTAGGGAACAGAATCTTTCCCTATAATGCCTAAGTCTAGAATCAAATTTACCACATTTCAATTTCCACATATTATCAGGAACATGTTATGTTCAAAATGCTGTCTCATCTCATAAGACTGAAGGCAGCATATAGAAAAATACAAATAGATAAATCTGGATAACAGCCAATATAAACCAGAGGGCCCAAAACACAAGGGTTGTGCATTTTATTGTGTGCTAATGATATCTAACACATACCTCATTATCAATACAGCATAAACAAGAAAACAAGGGGAAAGTGAGAACAAAAAATGCAGACGACAGGTCCTGCAGTGATAAAGTTGAATTGAGCTTCCTGCCAGCCAAAGCGAAGAGCGAAACATGACCAGTGTCTGATTCTTGTTGTAGGGCCCTTATGTCTGAAAACAATTTCTCTTTCGGTGCCTTCAGTGAGGGACAGTAACGCTGAGGACAGCACAGCAGCATGTACAGTAACACATGTCCTGAGACCACCCCCGACCGTGTCTCAGTGTTGGCCTGACTAAACACTTCGAAGCTGGAGTGGGCTGGGCAGGCAACGGGTGTCAAACGCATAGCTTGGAGGCTCACACGAGACGAGGAGAAAGAACTCAGGAAACCAGGAGCGCAGTGCCGGTATCAGATTCACTGTTCCAACACTAAGCTCTGGGTTCCTGAGAACTGAGAGGCCTAGATGCTGAGACTTAGACCAGGGGTTCCGACCTGACTTCCCAGCCTGACTAATCCAGCTAAACTGAGAGCGGCTCTGGCATCGGCCCTGTCCCAATCTAGTTCATAAAGGGCCGAGTTACAAGGAGTGCTAACTGCAAAATAAGAGCCAAGAGCACTCCTGGGCACATCCACTGAGCTCCATGCACGGAGGCCACTAACTGGGCCCTGCACCCATTTTCCCCTTCATCCTTCAGTCACAAAAGCCCCTGGGTTTTGACTGGGCACGTGACTACCCAAACAAGAGGCTCTGTATCCCAGTGTCCCTTTCTGCAAAGTGTGTTGTTTGAGCAACTCCAGGTCATAGACTTTAAAAAAGAAACTACTTTGTTCTCTCTTTCCCCAGTGGAATGTGGACATGGAGCTGACGAGTCTGCTTTGACCTTATGGCAAGGACAACAACCTGGGGTAGCTGAACAACAAGATAAAGAGAAACCAAGTCCCTGACGACCCTGCACAACTAAATCTGCCCTGGACCATCTGACTACCTCTGTACTATTAGAAGGAAAATGAAATTTCTACTAGGCTCTCTTTGTTATAGCAGCTTAGCCTGTGGCTTAACATAATTCACAACAGAACTGATAGGAGTCAGAGAGACCAGACTTCAAAGGACTCAGGCAGCAACCTAGAAAAGTCAACTCACAATTCACTTCCACACACAGGTCAGAAAGTGACATCCATATAACGAGGTGGCCTCCTACTCCTTTTCCAGGAGAGATGCAGCCGTATACTTTGAGCAGTGGGAAAGGCCTTTATTACAGCACAGCCCGGACATGAAATGCAGCCTGTCCACCACGGCCTAGGCCAAATCCAGGACAGTTGGAGACAGACTAGTTTCCCCACCAACACTAGGCGGGGACACCCCTGTCCTACCTTTTCCCCTACAGCAGGAAAGCTCCAAGCTTCTCCATTCTTCATAGTTACCATTCTTGAGGACAAGCCAAGTCCAATAAGGCGTGGGGTGAAATCGGGGGAGCTGTGTGTGAGGGTCAGGGGCAAATAGTCCATAGCCCCAGAACAAAAGCCACAGCTGCGAATTGGAGGGAGAGAGGGCTCCATGTCTGCCCTGGGTTTCTGGGGCTCAGGAGCCTGACGGTGCAGCACCTGCTCCTTCTCGGGAGTCCTCTGGTGACAGAGCTCACTAACGAATCCCAGCCACCGGCACCTGCTGCTGCTTGCGAATCTTGTTGAAGAGTTCCATGTACTGGACCATGGTATCTGCTGGGCCGTAGACCGTGTCATGTCTGTTGCTAAACACTGTGGGAGCCCCTGGAGTGTGGCTGCCTAGAAAACTCTGTAGGAACTCCAGCAGCAGGTTCCAGCAGTCACTGGCTATCACACAGGGGCCATACTCCACCTGGGGACCAAAGGAACAAAGAATGAGGGTGAATGTAAGCAAGGATGAGGGCTTCTGCTTCCCTTGCACCTCTTACCCCTACTCCCATCTTGACAACCCCAGGCCAAAGACTCACACCTTCTAGCACAGTTGCTGCACGGGAAACACTCAACCCAAACACCAGGGATCTGACACACCACCACCATTGCCTTTAGGCCATCTCTGACATTCTCATCTTGGTGTTATCAACCCTCAGCCCTGCCCACAGACGCAAAGGCGAATCTGGGCCCCCTTAGATTTTCTCAGAATTATATAATCCCTACTATGCTGAAAGACTCAAGGAGAGCTGAGGAAAATGTTAAGAAAACAAAGAGCGAGAGAAAGAGAGAGAGAGAGAGAGAGAGTGTGTGTGTGTGTGTGTGTGTGTGTGTGATGGGGATCAGTAGAGTGCAAAGCAGACAAATATGCTCATAAGTCTCTTCAAGGCCAAACATTATTCCCCAGGTAAACCCAGCCAGCTCCAACCCTAAGAAATAATTTCCTGACCAATGTAGCAGGGGCCAGAGGATACACCTTTGGCTTTTTCATTCCTCTCTCTTAAATTTGTCACTGCAGAGAGAGCAGGGGAAATCACTGGGAACCAGATGGAAAAACAGTAAAGAAACAGCTGGGGGGTGCCGGACTACAAAGCTGCGAATATGGAGGATAAACAGTGGGTCCCCAGTGGGTCTCAGCCAGTGCAAGGTGTGTCGCGTGCTAAAGAGAGTCAGGAAATCTTGGCCCTTGAGACCCTGGAGTTGCAGAACAGTAATTACCACTGATGCCCTTTTTTCCACCAGAGGTGCTTTTTAGGGATGCTCAGCTCTCCCCATGTCTCTGTACTTGAACGCCCTCCTTCCTGCTAGTCCTGGAGGAGAAGTCACAATCCCCCAAGTCAGCAGTGCTCTCACTGGCCTGGATTCCTGGAGCAGTCTGTGCCTCTTTCACGGCATTTATTATAGAGCCACTTCGGAAACAGTTTGGACCTGGCCGGTGTGGCTCTGAGGACTGAGTGCCAGCCTGTGAACCAAAGGGTCACCAGTTGGATTCCCAGTCAGGGAATCCAACTCCAACTGGGTTGCAGGCCAGGTCCCTGGTGGGGGGTGTGCAAGAGGCAACCACATATTGATGTTTCTCTCCCTCTTTCTCCCTCCCTTCCCTGTTGTCTAAAAATAACTAAATAAAATCTTTTTTTTTAAAGTTTGTGTTTCAGCCTTGCTCTATTACTAAATCACAAATTTGCAAAAGGCAGGCCCCATAGCTTACTTTTTTTTTTTTTTTTAAATCTCACACAGGGCTGGACACAGGGTAGACTGTAGATCCTCACTGGTCCCAAAGCCAGTTCCTGTCACACTCTCTCTTTGCCATTTTCAGTATCTACTGAAAATCTAAAGTCCTACCACACCCCCTCAAAGACAGTCATCACACACCCACCTTCCCATCGTGAAAGAATGAGGACAGCCCAGCAAAAGAAAAGGTACATCTTTGCTACACAACTTTTGAGACTCATCTTAAAGCATACTAAGGAGAGGCGTACAGACCTACCTCCCAAAAGTTAACTACACCGAAAGTTGTCCTGGTCTGCTCCAATCCTTCATGTGGAAGGTGACCGGTCCCTCTACATCATAACTCACTTGCCTCCTTTAACTATCCCTTCCCTTCTCCAGCAAGCCAGCCTTCCTATTCTACCAGCTGTGAACCCAACTTCCAATTTCCATCCTGGGCTAGAGAGTCCCAGATGATTAGAGAAAGGTTAAAAAGGGCAGAGAGAGGGGGCAGAGATGCGGTGCGCTACAGACAGGAATCAGGTAGGCACGCACACCTGTGTGCACACAGAGGGCCGTGGGATCTGCAGAGCCCTCCGCTGAGCAGCCCCTTCCGCACAGCGTGCTCCTGTATTTCACCAAGGTCTTACCTCCACAGAGATGCCTCGGGCACTGGGCCCCATTGTGACGGTGCCCACCTTCACTAGGAAGTCACAGTACTGGTAACGGGTACCCCGGGTCTCAATCTTGCTGGCCTTGGCACTCTGGAAGAAGCCCTTGAGCTTCACCATGAGCACATCAAAGTTGGTGTCGGCAATAAGACAAGGGCCATTCTCGAAGAGGGCGAAGCAGCTCAAAGGGTACTCTGAATTGTGCATCACGTACATCAGCTTCCCGGTCTGACCTGCAGGGACAGAGATCCTACTTAGCATCAAGACCTCCGCCAGCAAACCCTGGAATAGAGGCAAATGTGGGGAACTCGGCCAGATGACAACCAGGCACTACCTCAGCAGTCCCAGGGCAGACGTAGGTCTGACCTCCAGAAAAGGCCCCTTACCAACAGCCTTTTCTGCAGACAACAGGTGAGGCAGCCTGTGGTAAAACCCACCTGCCCTACAGGAAAAGGCGAGGGACACACAGGAACTTCACCAGCATCGGTAACAGCTGAATTCTTTATTTTTGGTTTTTAAGATTTTATTTGTATTTTATTTTTTAGAGAAAGAGGAAGAGGGGGAGAAAAAGAGGGAGAGAAACATCAATGTGTGGTTGCCTCTCGCTGGTCCCCTACTGAGGAACTGGCCCACAACCCAGGCATGTGCCCTGACTGGGAATTGAACCAGCAACCCTTTGGCTCACAGGCCAGCACTCAATCCACTGAGATGCACAAGCCAGGGCAACGGCTGAATTCTTAAGTTGAATGACAGGCTCACAGATGGGTGCTTAATGATGATGATTAGTAACTCACAGGGACCTTGCATATAGTTTTTTATACATATCGTTTTTTATATAATCATACATTACATAATAAGGAAAATTAAGTAAAAGTAGCAGCATTTCAGTATGTTGAATGAAGCGGAAGCTCTTTTCTGTCCACTCCTACCTTCCCTGGCCTCCCCCTCTCTGAAATATAAGAAGAGGCCCCAGAGATACAGCAAAGGGAGCGTCTGAGCACGAGGCTGGGAAGCGAGGCCAGAGCTGAGCTGTGCTGTCCTGTCTCCCATACGTACGGAACCTGGACTTCATTCTAAAGGCCAAGTGAAGCCTGGGGCAATTCTAAGACATCGCTGACTCAGGAAGCTAGCGCTGCACCACCACAGCATGAACTCAGCCTCTGGGATCAAAACATGTAGCTTCCAGTCCCAGCTCACCCGTTCCAGGCTCTAGGAAATGACTTCTCTCATTGATTACTACAGATTTTCTATAAAAAGAACGGAAAACTATATATGTGTGTGTCTGGCAAAGTGGGAAATAGAAGAAGGCAAACAATGGAAAGCAAAATTCCTCTCTCATACATTACAAGAATTCATGGACAGGCCGCCGCGATTGCAAATATTGGGTGCTTAAACTATTCCCAACCCTGTCCTAGGGTTTAAGACGCATATGGGAAAGAGGACTTAGTCCCTGGCCTCAAGAAACTGACAATCTCACTAGAGACAGGTGAAAAGCTTTAAAAAAGACAATAAACAGAAATGCTTATCCAGGACAGACCAGAAGCCTTTTTTGAAAGGAAGGAAAGATTTCAGGGTAGGAAGAGATTAAAATAGGCAAGAGGCAGCAGGAAAAACTTCCATGGAAAAAAAGAGAACCTGAACTAAGATACAAAGAGAGGATAGGATTTAACCACGCAGAAAAGGAAACAAGACACGTCAGGCAGTGATGAGAGCGGAGCAGTGGGAAAGAGAGAAGGTGGCAGGGGAGGGGGGCACCGTGACCGCTGTACGCACCTTCACTCTGCTGCCTCTTGCTGAACACAACAGGTGCTGCACAAACCGCCCTGCACATCCCTCCTGACTGTGCTGCCAGTTCACACCTTTCACCTCCCAGTAAATCCACTTCAAACACTTCAACCCTCAAAGAGACATCCAAAGCTGACCCATATTCTGTTCTTGTACAAACTCCCTGCAATTACATATTCGATTCATATGAATCTGCAGGTATTCTTACTGTCTGGAAAATATTTTGAAAGTCAACTAAAACTTCTATTTTTAATAATGAAAAAGGTATTCCCAGTTGTTTGTAGATAATAAATACTATTATTTAAATCACAACAGAAGTACTTTCTCAAGATTTTATTTATTTATTTTTAGAGAGAGGGGAAGGGTGGGAGAAAGAGGGAGAGAAAGATCAATGTGTGGTTGCCTCTTGTGTGCCCCCTACTGGGGACCTGGCCTGCAACCCAGACATGGGAATAGAACCAGCGACCCTGTGGTTAGCAGGCCAGCGCTCAATCCACTGAGCCACACCAACCAGGGCCAAAAGTACTTTCTTATCTGCACAAATGTGAGAAATGGAACCAGTGTTACAGTCCCACTTTTATAGATGAGGGAAATGAAGCTTATTGGTCCCAGACTAGCAGCAGTAGCCCCATGTAGGAGCTTTTTAGAAATACAAATTATCCACCCAACCAAGACCTACTGAGTCAGAATGTCTGGGAGAGGAGACCCATGACCTGTGTTAACAAGCCCTCCAGGTAAGGCTCACGCTGGTCATTGTGAGAAGTACGGATCTAAAGGCATGGAACCAGAAAGCAGCAGAGCTGGAACTGCAGGCCTTCTGACCTGAAGTTCATTGCTCCTTCCGTTCTACTCCACTGCCTGTGGAGAACGTGTTGTCTCCCCACCTGTACTGTAGCTCCTTGAAAATAAAGGTCTGATCAGGAGGAAAACGGAGTCCACATCAGGCCATTTCATTCAAGTAGTGTATCCATATACAAATGTTTTATTTTCCAAAAGCTTTCATAACCATTGTATCTTTTGATTCTTACATCCTTCCTACTAAAGGCAAAACAATGGTTAACAGTTACACTGTAAGTTTATAGATGAGGAAACTCAGCACGCTCTGAGCTACCATGTATTAGAGGTTTAGTACAGGACCATAGTTCTAGTGCTTGCCTGTATTAACTTATTTAATTAGCACAGCACCACTAGGGGGTCAGCACAACAATTATCTTCATTTCACAGAAGAGACAACTCTTCTGTACAAGCAGGACCCTCACCAGATCCCCTCATCAGAGGGGATTTAATACACAAAACAAAATATAGCAAGTGGAAGAACTAAAAAACCAAACGGAATGATGAGGTCCCCCAAAGATTAGTAACCCAGGGGGCCACTACCATCCCTAAGGCTGCAAAGAAACGGAGAGGATGTGCTGTTAGCAGAGCCAGGAGCGAAGCCGGCCCAGGAGCTGGAACCAAGAAGACATAACCAGAGACACGGCCCAAGGCAGAGGGAGAGAGGACCTGTGGTCTCCCTTTCTCCTGACCTCTCGTTTTCCCCAGTGTCTCTCACTGGCCACAAGTAACTAAAAGGGGGCCTAGCAAATTAGTCTGCAGTGGAAATTCAGGGAATGGATCTATGGGGAAAGAGTAAAATGAGCAGCACAGCCACGGTCGAAGGTCATGGGGCTTACCCAGCTTGCAGTTAGTATGTGGCAGAGCCAAGACTCAATTATCTGGTTCCATGTTGAAATTTTTTAAAATTAATTAATTAATTAATTACTGAGAGAGAGAGGAAGGGAGAAAGAAAGAGAGAAACATTGATTGCCTCTCACACGTGCCCCGACCAGGACCAAACACACAACCTACTGGTGTACCCTGACTGGAAATCAAACTGTCCCCTTTTGGTTTATGAGATGATGCCCGACCAACCAAGCCACACAGGTCAGAGCCATAACTAGATTCTTAATCACTGTGCTGTGTGACGGTCCAAGGTAAAGTTACTGCAGAACCCGGGTTCCCTAACTCATATTTAAAGACCTCTTTGCCTCTTACCATCACCACCAGGACCATCCACAGCCATCTCACCTCTGAACAGTTT